TCAATATTGGGAATAGAATTAAAAGTCAGTAATTCAACAAGACCGAGGACATAATTTTTATTTGGATTAAGTTCTATTGGTGGGAAATATTCAGCTTCAAGAACTGAAGTGTTTCCCGTCAACGTTAATGTAAACGAATCACTCATGATGCGGTCAGTTTATATACTAAAATAATACAAAAGTTACATGTTCTTATATAGGCTAAAGCTACTCTTAACAACATTAAGTTGTTTACATAAAAATTTTAAACATAAATGTCCACACACATAAGTATCATAACTTTGATATCTCTCATGATTATATTTTATTAAGCTACCGTCACCCAAGTATGTGATTAGATCTGTTGGTGGAGGAAGGTTGCCAAAACTATCAAAATACATTATTTCGTTATTACATTTTTTATATGCCACCCAATGTGTTCCTGGACCTTCTTTATTATCCAAGTTAATAATTCCAGACTCATGTCGATAAGGTCCTTTAAATGGTAGTTCATTTCGCATGAAAACTCCACGAAAATATGGTATTTTCATAGTTTTAGCATATTTCAAGAGATCAAAATCAGTTAGAGGACGGTGAGGTAGCTTCAATGCAAGTTTTTTTTCTTCCTTAATGTTGGTTTCATCTTCTTCTTTTTTAATCCTTTCCCCTGATTGTATGGTTTAATATGAAGACCAAGTCCTTGTCGGTAGGGTTTCAGATGTAATCCTTTTCCAAGCGATATTGCTTCCATTGCTTTATTATGTCGGTGAGCTTCGGCAAGTTGTTCCTTGGCAGTTTTAGCCTTGTTTACAGCTTTCACTATACCTGAAGCTCCACCAGCAAGAGCTCCCAAAGCACTAAGTCCAGCAAAAATCGGAACCAGTGGTAAAATACCACCAACTTTAGAAGGTACAGGTAAAATTCGCGGTGATAAAATTTTTGATTTACCACCAGCATTTTTTATTGCTTCTTTTGCACCAATCAGAGCAGCTTGAATTGATTCTCCAGAATTATGATTGGGTAGCATACTTTTTCTAGCAGCATCAACAACTCTTCTTAATGCTAGTCGCTTTTTCTTACACATGGTTTTTCTTTTCTTCTTAATTGTAGACTTTTTCTTCCTTTTCATTCCCATACCTAATGTTGATTTAGCTTTCATCGTTCCAGATATCGCTAAAGCTGCTGCCTTTTCACTAATACTAGAATCCTTAGCTGTAACACGTTGCCACGCCTTTTCAGCTAGCTCTTGGTCTGCAACGTTTCTTGCTTTAATGTTTTCTTGATTTTGCGAATATGCAATATCATGTGCTTTACATGCAGCGTCTAATGGGTTAACACCTTTATCACCACGTGCTAATCTTTTTGTCAACTTTGTACCGGGTCCACAGAATTGGTATCCAGGTAAATGTAATTCAAAAGGTAAACTATTGATAATACGGTTAACTAACCCTCTACCACAACAAAGATGTTTTTTATCACTTCGATGTAAAATCATTCTACACTCTATGAAGTTTGATGTGCAACTGACTGTAAGACTATAAAAGCCGAGTATTTATAGTTTACAGAGCAGTTACTGTCAAGATGCAGTTCACGAAACAACCTGTAGCACTCCCAATCACAAGTATTGACGTTGAAACTAGTGAGAAAAAAGTTCAACGTCATGGTAGTTTGTTTTCAGATAGCATCCGAGCTGTCTTTTGTGGTCCCTCAAATTGTGGTAAAACAAACGCTCTTCTCTCTTTAATCATACATCCAAATGGTTTAAGTTTTGAAAATATTTACCTATACTCTAAATCTCTGCAGCAGCCAAAATATCAATTTTTAGAAAATGTAATTCATGACGTGGATGGAATTGAATACTTTCCATTTAGTGAGCATGAAGAAGTAGTATCTCCAAAAGATGCTAAACCGAACTCAATATTCATCTTTGATGATATTGCTTGTGAAAAGCAAGACAATGTTAGAGCTTTCTTTTGTATGGGTAGACATGTAAATGTTGACAGTTTCTACTTGTGTCAAACATATGCTCGTATTCCAAAACACTTGGTGCGAGATAATGTAAATTTACTGGTGCTTTTTAGACAAGATGAAAAAAATTTAAAACATGTCTACGAAGATCATGTAAATACAGACATGTCTTATACTCAATTTCGTGATTTATGTTCTGAATGTTGGAAATCTGATAAATATGGATTTGTCGTTATTGATAAAGATAGGAATTTTAATGAGGGAAGATATAGAAAGGGATTTGATTGCTTTATTACACTATAAATATAACTACTTTATTCCATTTTAAATTAGTATAGTTTATGTTATCAAGACGGAAACATGTATCGAAAAGAGCAAGAAACACTTCGTCAAATAGCAAAAGCAAGCGACGCTATTAGACGAAAACATCGGTTACTTAAAATGGGTAAAGAGGCTGCAGAGACATTGTTAAAAGAAACTCTGCAACCAATAGTTACACCTCTTCAAAAGTTGGCAAATGTAACTGAAACTCCTTTCAAAAATGTTAAAATTGAAAAATTCAAGAAAGATGATAATGATTTCTCTTTTTCAACTGCTGTTGACGATGATGAAGAATTTGATAAAACTCTACTAAATTCAACTTTACTTGATAAGAGCAATAACTTTGAAAAAGAAGAAGAAAATTATGAAAAAATTACAAATAAATTTATTTTTATGTTAGATAAAAATAGAAAACTGTTTGTAGATACGGTTTATGGAGTACGTAAACTTGCCAACGGTTCTTTTATGATTGGTGATACACCTATTGAATTTGAAGGTTCACATATTAAGCTTATTGGAAAGAAAAATTATTTAAAAACTGCTGGGTTACTCGAACTATTATTTAAACAAAAACCAAAAGAAGCTTTAATAAGTTCAGATGATTTTTCAAATTATAAAGAAATTCTCATTGCTACGAATGCACATCGAAAAAATTATAGTGCAAGTGAATCTGTCAACATAAGTAGAACTTCCAAGTACACTGATGTTATTGCAAAACTTATCAAAAGTACACCAAAGAAAAGTGGTGGTTCTTTAAAGAAGAAGAAGAAGCCTAAAAATATATTACCACAATTTATGATTGCAAAAAGACAATTTAATCCAGACTACATCTATTGGGATGATCCAAATGAACTCGTTGACCGTTTACGACTACTCATAGGATCACAGCAAGCTGGTAATCCAAGTCATAATAATGAGATTATGTCAATTATCGAAGAACTTCGTGAAGCTCGAATTATATATTAAGAGAGAGCATATAGAAAAATTGCTTAGTATTACAATGAGCATTGATGTGTTCGGACATTCTTTAACACGACCTGTTGCAAGTCGTGGACTGCCTGGACCTTCTGGCATTGGATTTAAAGTTACTCCAAGTGGAGATTACAATATTGAAGGCAAAAGACTTTGTAACGTTCAAGACGCTGAAGAGCTTCATGATGCAGTAAATTTACGACTTGTACAACAAATTATCCGAAACGAGATAAAAACTATCTTTCAAATTACATCTTCTTTAAGATCAGCCATTGATGATTTAAATATTTTAATACAAGTTGTTGAAGATAGAGTTAACGAAAAACTAAAACAAATTGAATTCCAACAGAATATTATTATCAAGGAAACTACATTTATTCCAAATGATGAATGATAAAAAGTTAACAGTTGTAACTGAACTGCATAAACAAGCGAGAAGGAATTTTCCTCGTCGTAAAGTTCAAATGCGTGGCATAGATGAAACCTGGCAAGCAGATTTGGTAGAAATGATACCTTACTCCTATTCCAATAAAGGTTTCAAATACATGCTCACAGTAATAGACATATTTTCTAAATATGCCTGGGCTGTACCTGTAAAAAGTAAAAATGGAAAAGATATTTCTTTAGCCATGAAATTAATATTAAAAGAAGGTCGCATTCCAAAAAATTTACACACTGATAGAGGCAAGGAATTTTATAACTCTGAATTTCAGAGTTTAATGCAAGAATTCAATATTAATCTCTATTCGACTTATAGTAATTTAAAAGCATCAATTGTTGAAAGGTTTAACCGCACTCTAAAAAATATGATGTGGCCTGAATTCAACTTGCAAGGCAATTACAAATGGTTTAATCTTTTACCAATTCTCATATCAAAGTACAATAATAAAAAACATCGTACGATTGGTATGAAACTTAAAGATGTCACCGTAGAAGATACAAGAGAACTGATGAGACGCATTCGTAAACTAAGAAGAATTCCACTGAGAAGACAAAAATTTAAAGTTGGAGATAGAGTTCGAGTCAGCAAACATAAAAACATCTTTGAAAAAGGATACACCCCCAACTGGACAACGGAAATATTCACTGTAGATCAAGTTAAACGAACAAAACCAGTTACATACAAACTTACAGATTATGAAAATCATCCAATCGAAGGTGGTTTCTACGAAGAAGAACTATTAAAAGTTAAATATCCAGATGTTTACCTCGTCGAGAAAGTCCTTAAAAGCCGTGGCAACAATGTATATGTAAAATGGCTTGGATTTGACAACTCACACAATAGTTGGATAAAAAAATCTGATATGTAATATATATATAAATAGTTAAAATAAAGTCAAATATAGTTAAAAAAAAGTTAAAAAAAGTTAAAAATAGTTAAAGATAAGTTAAAAATAGTTAAAATAAAGTTAAAAAAAGTTAAAAATAGTTGAAGATAAGTTAAAAATAGTTAAAAATAGTTAAAATAAAGTTAAATATAGTTAAAAAAAGTTAAAATAAAGTTAAAAATAGTTAAAAAAAAAGTTAAAAATAGTTAAAGATAAGTTAAAAATAGTTAAAATAAAGTTAAAAATATTTAAAAATAGTTAAAATAAAGTTAAAAATAGTTAAAGATAAGTTAAAAATAGTTAAAATAAAGTTGAAAATAGTTAAAATAATGTTAAAAATGTAACTAGATTAAGGTTTTAATAAATAAACATAATATGAAATGTACAATATCTTTTATTAAAACACCTTTATATTTCCAAATCATCATTTATTTACAATTCCATAGCTTCATCATCATTAATTTGTGTAATTTTACAATGTCCCCATGCAAGGGTATCGGTACTATTGGATAACAGAAATCTTTTATCGTCGTAAGGACTTAAAGCTATTTTTGTTTGTTTTAATGTTTGAACATTGTGAAGTTTCGATCTGATACAATATTGAGTTCGCGATTGCATTTTAACATTTCGTAAACAATATGTGTAGTCATCAAAGGTAATAGTTTTCTTTACAACCGCAGATTTCACACCTTTTGCTTTTTTAATAAAATCTTGATCTTCCACTCGCACACTGTACATTTTGCTCCGCAAGCCAACAAATTCAGTAACAATTTTTCCACTGCACTCATCTTTCATTAAACCTAAAATTTTTTTGTTGGCTTGCGGAATACCGTAAACGTTATTTACAGGGTAATCGGAAGTGTCGTATTTGTGGATATCTGCTTTCATGTCTGCAAAGATGTCACAACATTTAATTTCATAAATCAGACTGTCGGTGTCGGTATACAATAACTTACAGTTTGTTTTGTCATACTTTTTTAAAATATAATCATAGTGAAAATCGTAGATTAAAGTTTTTGAAACGTCTAAAACGGTTAAGCCAACATATAGTGGCTTGTTCATTAGAACTTCTACTTTTCTAAGTTCCACAGCAACCAAATTTTCATTGAAAATGGCCCTGCTGTGGAAATTAGGTTTTGAGATTAAGGCTTCAGCTCCATATCTACCCTCCCACTTTGTCACAAGTTTAATGTCTACATGTTTTCGCACGTTCTCCATTGTTTTTCCGAATACCGCATTGTTCATTAGTTTAAATAAGTTTTTCTCGAATTCATTGTTAGCATTAGTTCTTCGCATGGTATTGAAATCAATGTAGCTTTTTAACCATGTGGATTGATTAAATTTTAAAACGCGATGAATTTTAATTAAAATAAGGCCGTTGGTAATAGCTTGTTTCAATGCTCGGTAATGGAGAACGTGCTTTCTCTTCGGTAGAAGGGTAGTTAGGAGCTTCTCCTCTTTGGACCCTGGTGGCTTCGAGCGTTCAGGGCAAAACGGAAAGTCACTATGTTTATCATGTAATTCCTCGGGATAATCTAAGTCAACTTCTAAAATGTAACCAATTGGTGCATCATCTGCAACATTAAAATCAAAATTATTGTCAACATTTTCTACCCACTCGAAGCCACCAAAGGGAAGCGACTGAATCATGGCCCAACCATATAGGTTGTTTGCGTCAAAGTATACGATATAAGATGTCTCCTCACTTGCATCATATTTCTCCATGTACGGATTATTAGCTTTCGCGTATCGATTGGTGCATTGACTTACTCCACCTCTTATTCCGCGTTCAATAAACATTACCATGTCGATGTCTGTGAGGAGTTCCAATCTTATATTCGTATACTTTAACATGGCATCCCATGTCAGTCCTGGCGTTGTATAATAATGCGCAGGATCAAGACCGTACGCGAGTAAACACTGATCCCTGAAATTTTCAAAAATATCCGCGAGTAACAATACATCGGTTTGCATGTACAAATACACATAATCACCAAGATTTTGACAGTTGAATTCACTCCACACATTTTGCGCATGTACATAATCATTATCTGAAATATTAGAATCATTCAAAGTGCTATAAAAATTTTCTTTTGACGGTAATTGAGTTTCATCGAGCTTTTCCCTCGAGTCAATGTACTCATAGGGGAAAACTCCTTTTCGCGTTAACAATTGAATTTTGTCGTGGCTGTAATTGGAAAAAACCGAATTAACAATTTTATATTCGTTGAGATAGGACGCTAACTTGTCCAATGATGATGCCATGAATTTAAAGGAATCAATGAATCGAAATTTGATTAAACTATTTTTAATATTTTTTGTAAAGCTGATATACTTTTCTTTGTTTATAGGAAGTAGATCAACTCTACCTTCAAACTCAGTAGCAATAGCTTTAATAATAAAATGAGCGTCATAACCGCTAAGGTTATGAAAAACAACAGGTATGGTCGGTGATTCATGGTAATTAACATTGCAATTTTGATGCGCAGCACCTCGGTACTTCCCTGTTAGATGGTTGTGGTCTCTTACTTTTACTTCACCTTGCACGATTTTCTTTTGACAAATATGACAAGTATTAGCATTTTTAAAACCAACTAATTCTTGTGAGGTTAATGCTTGCATGGGTTTAAAATTCTTTAAAATGAGCTCTGCTTTATCTGCTAAATTTTTTAACTCTTTTGAAAACCATTAAGCAGGATCTTCTTCATCTTTTGGGGATGCTTTATATGTGGACAATGAGTCATCAAAGCCACACTTTAAATAATATCCAATACTGAGCGTTTTATGATTTTGCAAAACCTCAGTATTGCATGCTTCTTGTGGTGCTTCCGCAGGAATCAAAAGACTCTCACAATCAGCATAAATGATAAAAGGCACGCGCTCCTTATTTTGATAATTCTTAAACTCAACAGTATTTTTACCTGGTTGCGGTAATCTGATCCTTGTATCATTTAATTTTTTGCATGTTTCCTCGTGTTCTGTAAGCTGCAATTTGTCTCTAAAATAATGGAGACAACGATCACAAATAAACTTTTTATTTTTCTTCTTCGACAGCTGTGATCCAACCAATCTGGATAGATCTTTTATCCAGACATAGTGGTAGTTAAAAGATATGATTGGTAAATCATCTTCCTCTTCTGCGCTAAGACTTTCATCAATGTAATGATCTTTAATGCGTAAAAGATTAATATGATTTACTCTCTTTTGTGATGTAAGATGTAGAGGATAGACACTAAAATTTTCTTTCTTTTTCGACAAACCATAGACATTAACTGAAATATTAACGTTTTGAGACTCAAATTTTGAAATATCTTTGAGGGCAAAAGGAAACTCAATTCCTAAAAAATTAAGTTCACCTTCATAAGACTTATACTTTGAAACTCGTTCCGCGTTCTTTTCAACTTGATGTAAAGCAGATAAAATTGCCCATTTAAAGCATTGATTATCACTATTTTTTATATTAACACAAGCATGTTTTTTATTAATAGAAGATGGTAAATTGATGTAGGAACTTGCGCGCATAGGGTTAAATTTGTTAATGTTAACCTCTAACCTATGAATTGAATCAAGTTTCCAGTTAGAGTCCTTCTCCTGGAATTCTTCGATTCTTTTCAAAGTTATTTGTTTAACATTAACATTGTACCAGTCATCTAACGGGGTTGTTAATAAAATTTCATCCGTTTTCGCGATAAAAGTTTTTAAGTCAGATTGTTCTTCTTTACCATTAATTAAATCTTTTTTAAATTTCGCACCCAACACAGTATAAACTTTTAAAGGACCATACTTGTTTAATGCTTTTTCAATATTTAATTTAAATAAAGCGTAGGCATCATCAAGGAACTCGTTAATATCCTTGTAATCTAAATTTATAATAGCACTGGTTTGCAAACGATTATCGAATGCTTCATCAAAATCCACCCATTTCATTCTAGCATTAGTCACTTGCACACCCGCACCACGTTTCATTAGAGCATCAAAATGGCAACGCAAGTATTCTAATTTTTGATCTAAATTCAAACATCTAGATCTTTGAGAAGTAGTTAAATCTGATCTTCGCAAAAAATTTCTAAAAATATTTTTATACCTTTGACACTTATTTTGCCATTCGAATGCGGTAATGAGCTTCTCATCAACCGCCATTGACATTGTAATAATGAGCTGCTGCTCCGCGGATTTAATAAAGTTGTCAGATTCCTGACAAATTTCAATAAATTCATCAATCTCGATTCGTTGCCGAGACTTTTTTACCGCCTTACATTTAGGCATCTTAAAAGATAAATCTAAAAAAAAATATCTAAAATAGAAAAAAACCCACCACCTCCTGAAAAGAAAAAAAAACCTAAAACTAAAACCAAAATACCCACCACCTGAAATAAAAAAAATCTAAAACTAAAACCAAAATACCCACCACCTGAAATAAAAATAATAAACGAAAAACAAAATCTGAAATAAAAATAATAAACGAAAAACAAAATCTGAAATAAAAATAATAAACGAAAAACAAAATCTGAAATAAAAAAAGAGAACCTAGAATAGAAAAAAAGCTGAAATGAAAAGCTGGAATGCTGTGGAAGTACTGCGCTAGACCTGTAAACAGAAAGCAGTGATGCTGGTGGCCCGAGCGCTGTGCTATATACCCTACTTCCCACTATGAGGCACCCCACTACCGCGCTCCCCACTACGACGCGCCCCACTACTCAAGCGACGCGCGCAACCAGGTGGGACTGCCGCTGCGCGCTCTGCTGTAGGCATAGGAGGGAGTCCCCGGCTGAGTTCACATCGATGCGGGGAGAGACGATACTCAGCATATGAACCCAGCGCTGGCAGCGGCATAGACGCAACCAGCAATGGGGATCCCTCTCGATGTTTTTTCCATACAGGTTTAGATATATACATTGAAATTTTAAACTTTAAATTAACTTTAAAATAGGTAAAATAAAATGGCGCCATCTTGCGGTGGCAGCTGGAACTAACTCGGTCGGTAATTTAAGCGGGAAATTTAAAAACCCCCACTTTATATTAATAGAAAAAAAATAATTTTACATTTGGCGTAAAAATAAAATAGCGCCATCTTGCGGTGTCAGCTGGAACTAATTCGGTCGGTAATGTAGAACACCAAGTCACTTGAACACAAAAGTTTAAAAATTCAAATTTCCCGCCAAGAGGGTTTGAATTGGCCGGTAAAATGCCAAGCCACTTTTAAAAATTCAAATTTCCCGCCAAGAGGGTTTGAATTGGCCGGTAAAATGCCAAGCCACTTTTAAAAATTCAAATTTCCCGCCAAGAGGGGTTGAATTGGCCGGTGGCGCCATCTAGCGGTGGCAGCCGGAACTAACTCGGTCGGTAAGTAGATTTCTACATTACCTACTCGGTCGGTAAGTGAGCCAGAACCCGCCTTGCAACACTACTCTGTACATAAAATATATGAAGTTATTAATAATATTTTTAAAATAGATGTTAAGTTGAATTACAAACTTCAAAATAAGCGTGCGCTATTTATTATAGCCTATCAGGTGATTACAGCTTTAGTAAGTTATGTTTCTTCATGGTGGCCACGGGTCAGAGAAAACCTGGAAGTCAGGAAAAGAAACTTTTGTCAGGGAAATCAGGGAAAAGTCAGGGAATTTTTAATAGGTCAGGGAAATTTTTGAAAAATAAAAATTATCCGATTTTTAATGAGAAAATTGAAGAAAAAGAGGTCAGGGAAAATGAGAAAAATGTGAGGGAAAATTCAGGGAGAAGTCAGGGATTTTTTTCGACAGATTTTAGTGTCCACCATGTTCTTTACGTCAATTATTATTAGTAAAATAGTAATATTTACGTTTTTAATAAAGTGTAATTTAGTGATAACAAAAAACGAAAGACGTCTTTTCTACTTATATTTTACATTCCCAATGCTTGTCCTTAATTTAAGTTCTTATTTTAAGTATTATTTATTTTTATTTATTATTTCTAGAATAGGAATCGAACAATATCTATGGAGTGTTGCAAGAGTTTGAATTTTTAGAAAAAGAATTATTTTACTTCACTTGTATGTTCATTTCATTGTTATTAATAATTAATAAACATTAATAATAACACCCGCGCACCCTGCATCGCGGAGGAGTACATTGCGGGTTTCATGCATAACAATGCGTACGCTGCAAAAAGTAAGTATCTTAAAAGTGACTAAAAAGTTATAAAAAACATTTTATATTAAAATGCTTAGGCTAGAAACATCTTAATATAAGATGTTTTAATTGACTTTGTAGTCACCTTTGAGATACTTCTTTTTGTATTGTACAGTATTTTCTGCAAAAAATGGCAATTTTTTAACCCCTAAAATTTTTGTTTACCGTTTATACTGAATTATACTTATTTATATCTCAGAAACAAAAAAAATCGTCACCTTCAAATTTCGTATCAGTAAGTGACATTTGTAATCCGAGAAGAGATAATTTATTATTATTAAATTATTATTAAAATAAAATTTAAAAAAAAATGTTTTATATGGTTCAATGGGTGAATGGGAAGACTCTCAGTATTGTTGCAGATCGGGAAATTATAAAACAAAATGGAAATGTTGTTCAAGTTCTTTGGGGAGTTCGAACATACAAAGCTAAAATCATCGCTTGTAATGGTAAATAAAAATTTCGTTTTTTAAAATTCACTTTGAATTATTAATTAATAATATTAAATTTTAAATTTAAATAATTTTTTCTGCATTTTGATATTAATTGCTCGATTTTTCTATTAACTAAAATTTTATTTCTTTTTTTCTTTATTTAAAACTGACAATTTTAGACTAGGAAATAAATTATTTCTTATTATTATTAGGATCAAAGGAATGGTTAGAAAACCTTCACGTCAATCATCAAGGAATCGTATTGGGTCCAGATATGGATTTTATAGAAATTGGCATTCCACCCATCGAAGAACCTGCAGTTGAGGCATTGAAAGAACCTGTAATTGAGGAAATTGAAGAACCTGCAGTTGAGGAAATGGAAGAATCTACGCCAGTTGGAGAAATTGAAAATCCCTCTCCAGGACCTGCAATCCAAAATCTCCTTCCGTTTCAGGATTCCGTTCAAATTGGAGCAGGGATTTTCATTTCCCAACGACAACAGGTTGATTTGATGACATTTAAAGAACGTCCAAAGAAAATGGTCACAACTCTGTTGAAGTACTTGTTCCCCGAGGATGCATTAAAAACGATGTCACGAACTGGCAGAGGAGGCCATGATGCAATTTTAGAAAATACTTTAGAAGCTATTGAAAGTGAATAT